AATATAAACTAAACAAATGTGCATTGCACGTTGCTTGCACCTAATGATGTTAAAAAAGCTTAAGGATAATTTAGTAACAAATTGTAAAGATTGAAGACGAAAGGTATAAAAGTTTCAATATTACGTGAATAAAATCAGCCGCATCTCAACACACCCAACTGACCATAGCGGGAAATGCATAAAATTAGGCGCGCCAGGGCGGGAAGGGAAGAAATTTATCGCCTCGTATAAATACAGTCTCCTTATTCTGCATCCACCGAGACTAGCAATCAAATTTTAAATTCTAATACTAGGGTTTCTAAAATGGGGAAGAGAAAGAAAACTAGGGCTTCCAAGGATAACGCAGAGGAGGAAGAAATTAAGGCAAACGACGGGTCGTCTTCGTCACAGGATAAGAGCTTGTATGAGGTATCATTCTCAATTTTTTTAAAAAAAAAATTTTTTGTTCGCCGGCATTAATCACTATTTCATTCATAATTAGTATTATTTGCATCGTTCCCTTTTTTTTTTAACGCTTAACTGGTATTCAGAAATTCTTAGAATTCTTGCTAGACTAGTAGAGCTCGTCTAACATACCGTCCGTCTAGAAAAAATCTAGTTGAAATATTAGGGCCGAAATCCCAACAAAAATAATTTCTTTAACTACCATTTCAGAATTTATAATGAAGGTGGATTAACTAGGAAAATTTATCCGAATCAGATTTCAATTTGTTTTTTATATACATGAAAGTTGTGAATTTCAATTAGATCACAGTAATCTTAGGGGAAAAAAAATTCTTGTCAGCCTAGTTTGATTCTTAAATTTTTGGGATCTATATAACATTATGAATCCATAAAACACGAGCATTTCCTTGTAAGATATTAGTTTCAAGACAAAGATGTGTTAGCTATTGTTCTTTGGTCTGTCCAGTGAGTGATTGGGGTCATATCATATAACATTATTAAAATTTTTCCTGAATACGATATATAAGGTTGGGAGGGTTACTGGTTCCGGAAGTGACACATTTTCTTAAGAAGCGTATTTTTATTCATGAAATGCTGATTCTAGTAGGCTGAGCACGTGCAGGGGCGAACCCATTAAGGGTCTAGTGGGTGCAATTGCCCCCACTGCCCATAATTTTAACCCAAACCCAACAAGGTAAGTCTAATTTGAAATTATTTTTTACGTAATTCTGCCTTGTTCCCTAAACTATAATCCTGGGTAAGCCCCTAAGCCTAGCTCAGGTGCACAATTAGCCACGTGCCTCGTCTGGAGGGTATTACACAACTCAAACCTACTCAGTGAAGTCTAGTCACATGTAAGAACTGTAACCACTACTATTTGGCACAATTCTTATATTCATACATTGACTAACAGGTACTCCAAAATCTAAATCAGTCTACCAAAAATAAGGGTAAGGGGCACTCTTAAGTAAAATATAAAAATTTACAAATACCGACCCCTGTCCATTTCCCATATTGAAGTTTTTACTTCGGTCCTCCCCCATTATGATACTCATAATTACCACACATTGTGAGCTTATATTTTGTTTTGAAATTTTATCTGCCATGTGTATATTTCATTGATTGCTTTTTTTTTCTGACTTAAATAGAACTGCTAGTAGTAATTTACTGTCCTCTGTCTTTTAGATTCTTGGGGTAGAAAAAACAGCGTCTCAGCAAGAGATAAAGAAAGCTTATTACAAGTTGGCTCTGCGACTGCATCCTGATAAGAATCCTGGTGATGAGGTAAATCTGTTTGTTTTAAGGATGTTTGGTTCTACCACAGAGACATCTCTTCTGCCATTCACAATTTTGATCGTTCTATTTTCTATGTAGGAGGCCAAAGAAAAATTTCAGCAGCTGCAAAAGGTTATGTCAATTCTTGGTGACGAGGAGAAACGGGCAGTGTATGATCAGACCGGCTGTGTTGATGATGCTGTAATTCATGATGCTATCCTCCTATTTTTCAATTTTATGTTAAACTATTTCGTTTGGGGTATCTGTTAAGCAAGCCAACAAGGTCCAGACCTTTTGGAGTCTATGGATGCTTTGTAGATATGTTTTGTGCCATGCATTTATTAACTAATGTGTTCGAGCTGAACTATGTGTTACGTAGTTAAATTAACCTTTGCATCTTAATTTTTTCTTCCAAGTATAGTTTCTTGACATTAAGTTATGAAAACCATGTTTGAGTAATAAATCTTCTGATTGGATTATGCTTGCAAGAGATGCTGCATTCCAACATCCAGGTTTATATCGACTTGCCATTCTTTTGCAGTTCTCTTAATTTACTTTTGTGAAAATATTTTCGTTCTATTAATATGATGCATACTAATAGTGGAATTTGACACATGAACAAATAAGTATTTTGACCAATCTTAGCAAACCATGACATCTTCCTAACATTAGTCATGCTGCATGTGATGGGTTAAAAGAATCATTATTTCTGGATACAACTGATGAACGCATGTGATTATTATCTGTGAGGAAAAGGCCTCATTTTGTTGTTTCTGAACTGCTGTGAAAGAAATGTTCCTTCAGTTTCCACCACTCATTCCTGAGTTGTGAACTAACAGGCATATATGTGTTCTTTTGCTAATTAATAGGACCTAGCAGGAGATGACATCCAGAATTTGCACACATTTTTCCGAGCTATGTACAAAAAGGTTAGTCTTGTGATTTTGGCAGCTTTTTGCATTACAAGCTAATTTTCTTTATTAATCACATGATCCTACATGTATATCAACTGCAGGTTACTGAGGCCGACATTGAAGAGTTTGAAGCAAACTACAGAGGCTCTGATTCTGAGAAAACAGATTTGCTTAATCTATATAAAAAGTGCAAGGGTAACATGCACAGGTATATCTTACGAATGTGCTTTAACATCAATCTCAAGATTACCCATTCATTATCAATTCGTTTATGATTTGTAGGCTTTTCTGCTGCATGCTCTGCTCTGATCCTAAGCTAGATTCACATCGATATAAGGACATAATTGATGAGGCTATTACAGCAGGTGAGATTTTTGAACTTCAAGAACTCTTGGTAGCGCCTTCAACTTTTACCCTTGATAAATTATTAGTAATAATCATATTTTGTTCCTTTCTTTTTCTTTCCTGTGCCAAACTCTCGAACTCATTATTTACATGTTTGTAGGTGAGCTGAATTCAACCAAAGCATATGATAAATGGGCTAAGCAAGTGTCCGAGACAAAGCCACCTACAAGTCCACTCAGACAAAGAAAGAAGTGAGTCATGTTTCTGTTGGTTTCCTATATTGTTAGTTTCATTAATCTTCTCACTATTATCTATTCTCAATTGATTCAATATATTAAATGATTGTGAAATACATTGCAACAGATCAAAGAAAAATTCAGAAGACTTGTATGCTGTAATCGCTCAGCGCCAAAATGAGAGGAGAGGCAGGATTGATTCGATGTTCTCATCTCTGGTTCAAAAATATGGAGGTGAAACAGTTCCTGAGCCTAGCGAAGAAGAATTCGAAGCTGCAAGAATAAAACTTGAAAGGCAGAGGACATCAAAACGGAAGAAACTATAATCAGTGCCCTTTTGAATCCCGACTTTTGGTTTATATAAAATTGATAGAGATTCAGAGGATTCTGAAACTGGGTAACAAAAAATTGTTGTGTTTGTGCTACTCAGCTACGACTGAAGGCCACTGACTATCTTAAGTAGACTGGAAATGTTGGAAACATGGCTGCCCTACCCTTAAATTATCTTGAATTTTGGAAAATGTTGATAATTTCATGTTTATAATTTGTCTGAAATTAGAGATGCTACCATGTTTATCAATTAAGCCCATGTTTGACAATTATACTTTTCAAACTCTTTTTACTATATACTTATGTTCAATCACACATTCAAAAAATAAAATATTTTGCAAGTGAAAAAAGGGGATCGGAAAATGCAAGTACCCTTCTAAGAGCAAGTACAATTCTGTACACGTTCTTGTGATGCACTCGCTATAAAGTTATTAATGCTTTGGTTGGTATAATTTTAAGGGTTGTTTGGTGGACCATTTGGTCGGCGGGCTACGGATTTCTTCTGTCTTTGGAAGAGAATATACATATGAAGCTAGAAGATTTATGTAATTAAAAATGGCCCACTTCTTTTTATTTTACACCATAAATTATTGGGGATGGATGGCTTAAATTGAAACATAAATTATCATAATTTGCTTAACCAACTTATTCTTCTCATTATGAAACCAATAAACTAAATTATAAGTGAACATTTTATCTCATAATTTATTAGCTAGATTATTTTGGAAAATGGGTGATATTTGTTTGTTTAATATTTATGGGTAAATTTCACCAACGGTCATTGAAGTTACGTCAAAATCAAAAAAGGGTCACTGAAATTTAAAATTTGCAAGAACGGTCACTGAATATCATCTGATTTCAGTAATGGTCACTGAAGGACCTTTTTCATTTTAATGGGAACTTAATGGACCAAAATAATTGAAACTTGAGCCTTGAGGACCTAAATCGCAAATTTGACAATAAAACCCTCCAAAACCATTTCATTTTGTGAAATTAACCCATATAAGGTGAATTTTTTTTTTTTTTTTTT